ATAGTCATTACCCAGACCCTTCCCCATAGTCATTACCCAGACCCTTTTCCATAGTCATTACCCAGACCCTTCCCCATAGTCATTACCCAAACCCTTCCCCATACCCACTACCCAGACCCTTTCCCATAGTCATTACCCAGATCCTTCCCCATAGTCATTACCCAGACCCTTTCCCATAGCCATTACCCAGACCCTTCCCCATACTCATGTACCCAGTCCCTTCTTCATACCCATGTACCCAATCCTTTCTCCATACCCATGTGCCCAATCCCTTCCTCATACCCATGCGCCCAGTCCCTTCCCTATACCCATTACCCAGGCCCTTCCCCATACCCATTACACAGACCCTTACCAATATCCATGTATCCTTTCTAATATACTCTTAACATGGTACTGTTACCCATGCACTTTACCCATGTACTTGTACCATTACTCATATTATTGACATGGTACCCTTCCCCAAGTATCCTTAGTATTGTTCCTCTTAACCATGTACCTTACCCAGTTTCATTTTACCAATAGACTCTCAATCATGTAGCCTGACATGAACCCATTCCCTTGTACCCACACTCATGTACCCAGTTCAATGCACACAGTTTGCAATTAACATGGTTACTTTACCAGTGTAACTTTCCCATGGTAAGCTTTACCCAGGTTACCACTGGTATATGGTGTCATGGCATCTGTTCCCAGATTCCTTTAGCATACCTATCACTACTGAGAGAAGGGTCCAGAGCCGAAACGTCAGCCTTCCTGCTCCTCTGATGCTGCTTGGCCTGCTGTGTTCATCCAGTTCTACATATTGTTATCTCAGATTCTCCAGCATCAGCAATTCCTACTATCTCTGAGACTGTTTCATGTCTCTTTGCTATCCCTTTGGCCACGCTGTATTTGCTGTCCATATCTCACACGCTGTCAGATGCAGTGGGAACAGACCACCCCCCCACCTCTGCTCACAGAGAGGGGTAACAATCCAATGGGAATGTGTATGTCTCTCTCCATCACATCACCTCCTTAGTTGCTACTGTGATGAGTATGCACCCTGCTCTCCTGCAGTCCTCAAGCCAGTTAATTTGACAGACATGCTGCATGGCGTAATCATGACACTGTGTGTGTGTGAGAGTGAGTGAGTGTTTGTGTGTGTGTGTGTGTGTATGTGTGTGTGTGAGTGAGAGAGTGAGTGAGTGTGTGTGTGTTTGTGTGTGTGTGTGAGTGAGAGAGTGAGTGAGTGTGTGTGTGTGTGTTTGCATGTGTGTGTGTGTGTGTG